ACAGGTAAATGTGACTGAAGAATACTTTTGCCTTCTCTACCAATTGAGGGAATTTAGAAAAAAAGCAATTGAGAGGGTTATACCCTGGAGTTTTATGCACTCTCCAAAATGATATATGGAAATCCTAATCTCTAATAAGATGGTATTTAGAGTGGGTCCTGTGGGAAGTCTTGATTAGGTCCTGAGAGTAGACTACCTCGAGATGGGATTTGTGTCCTTACAGGGACAGTGATGTCGCCTCTCTCTGCCTTGTGAGAGACACAAGACACAAGAAAACCATTGCCTGGAAATCAGAAAGAACATTCTCAACAGCTGGCACCTTATTCTTGAATTTCCCAGTTTCTAGAACTGTGAGAAATGATGTTTGTTTTTTAACCTGAACAGTCTATGGTATCTGTTATATTGATTAAAATGGTTAAAACAAAGGGATTATTTTTTCTCTCTTTGTGACCAAAGGCAATCTTCAGCACTAGAGCAACTATGAAGGGAGTTATTAAGAAGTTCAATTCAGAAGAGTGTGGACTTCATAAAAACTTCAAGCATGGAAGCCAGAACATTAATCATATGTTAATGTTTATGTATGCAAATATCTACTAGAGATATACTGGAAGAGAAAGACTCATTTTTTTTTTCTGAAATGTGAACAATTATTATAGGATAAATTAAGGAGGAACCCAATACTTAATAGAATTACAATTGCCAATGTAGAGACCATTAAGAATACAGAGAGCTATTAAGTAATGCTTCTGGCAACTAAACTACCATGCCAATAATTATTATGAAAATACTTTGGAAAACATTTGTTTAAAAAGGTAAAATGTAAAGGAAGCACGATACACTTCTGCCCTTCTAGCTGGCAAAGAAAACCTATCTATTCTATATAAAAGATATTTTGGGTAAAGCAGTTAATAACTCTAAATGAAGATGAGGAATTACTCCAAAATATGACAGATTGGGTGCAATAAAAAAGATAGATAGCTTAGAAATAATTAAGGGAGAACCTAGTCAAATAATAAAGACCAAACAAAAAGATTTTAAAAACGCATCCAAACCAAAGATTACTTAAAGGCTCCACTGTGGTTTATAGGTAAAAGCGGTAGATAAACACAAAGCATTTATTTATTTTCTAGCATCTCACCCCCATCCCACCCTGAAAGTCCCCATAGTGAAAAACAAAGGACTGAAGTTAATGGGCCAGAAATTTTTAGAAACCTCTGAAAGACAGAAAGCAGATGGAAGGAGAAAGCTAAGGGACGCACAGCACTTTAAGCTGTTGCAAATATTAAGAACAGTTTCAGGGGTGCTCCAATTTCAGAAAAGAGAGGGGTAAGACGCAGGTCAAGTCCTGGGTGGACAGTCAGAATTCTTGATTGGGAAACCACAATGGAAATTTTTAGACCAGAGTTCCCCAAAGTTTTCTGTTCACACCACACTAAGAGTCACAGAATTTTTTTTTTCACATTTCCCCAAAGCCAAATACATTCCTATTCTATTTAAAGTATTAGGTACAACAAATAACTCAATAAATATTGGTATTTTAACAAATTAATAGCTTCTGGAAAAGGCAATACTTATCACTGAAAGAAAAAGAAGTAGTTTTTTCTACTCCAAAATAGCCACAACTATTTATTGGTAGGATATTTATAGGTATTGGACACAACACAATTTTCAAATTTTGGAATCAGACTGGATACTGCCATGCTTATTTCCTGATTTTCACATGATATCTGCTTTTTAAAAATGAAAACTCCAAAATACCAGCCTCTCAAAACACAGTATCATCTAAAGAAATGTAACAAGACCTGATGTTGAAATTATAACTTAACAGTAGTGGTATTACTAACCTAGTAGTGTCTGACAAATGGTGAATATTGCTGTTTCTCTCAAAATTCAAAATTTCAGTATTCCTATGAGTTTGTTGTGGTATGTGGTCATTTGAGAATTAAATAATTAGGTAGTTAGAAATGCCTTCTCTCCCCTTTATGCGGAGAGGGGGGCAGAAATATTTGTTACCATTACCCATGGATTCTTGAGGTGGGTTAACGGTACTGTACCATGTTAGCAGGTGCATTCAGACAGAACAGTGACATTTTGTGCTCTAAAAATGGGTTGTATACAAATGTCTCTCTGCAACATAGCTAGACCCTACTACTAACCAGTGAAGGAAAAAATAAGTCCCAGCATAAAACTCAAGGACAAAGATACACGACCAAATAATAAACAAACATTTGAGAAACACAAAAACCTTACAAGCAATGCTTCCAATTTTAAATTCAGAAGAAATATTGTCTATGGAAAAAAAGTTTCTAAAGTAGAGACTTCACATATATATGCAATCAATTTCCTACTTAACAGAGAAGCTACCATATCTTTAAAACAAGAACAGGTTATTATGAAAAGAACAAACTCAAGTTTTCAGAATCTGATTAGCAACCTGGTATATCAGATAGGGAGGAAATTAGCAAGCTGGAAATTTGATAGCCGTGATTTTCCAAAAGCTATTGTCTTAGAATATGAATGATAATACTATTAAAAAGAAATAATACTAGAGTATCCCTGACATAAAATGTAACCTAGAGCATGTAGTCAAAATAGCACTTCCTGGATCCTTTAATTATGAACTCTAGTGAGCTAACTTGAATCCCAATCTCTCTTGAACTCACATAAACACACACACACACACACACACACACACACACAGACTACAAAACCTTTATAGTAAGGAAGAAAAATTATACCATCACCCATTATAGTAGATGAAGAAATGGAGAAAGAGTAACTTTCAAGGGAGTGAATATCTTTATATTCATACAGAACATTATGACAGACCCAGGTTTAAATCCTTAGATTACTCTTCTATGGCATTCTTTTACATATATAAAATAATCCACAAAAACTCTACTCAAAACAAGAGAAAAATGACATTAAAACAAGAAAACTCTTTGCTTTGAAATTCACTAAAAACACTGGTGAGTATCAGAGTTTATCAGTTAGAGCAGGACAGACAGCCCAAACTTAATTAACAGGCAAGCCATAAACCACCTGAATTGATGACAGAAATTGTCTATCTTGCAATGTTAACCAATAGGCAACTTTTATAGTCAAGAGATAAATTGGTAATTCCTTTCACTAAGGAAAGATAAGGGTTAATAGAATTTGGAACAAAGATTATAAGATAATAAAATATATGTGTTCACCAAATACCAGAGTTCAGCTTCCAAGAATGTTCAATTAAACAGAATAAAACATGACCGGCCAATGCACATCACAGTGGTGGATATCAGACTTAATGATTCCAAGATTTAATGGAGACCAAAGCTATAATTAAATTCAAAAGAGCTCAAACAAGTCAAAATTTGATATAAGGTAAAAACATTTGTGATATTTTCATTTAGAAAAAAAATTCTTAATCATTTCTGAATTCTCTACAGAAAGTTAAATCATAAACAGAAAGTTGTTTAGTGAACAAGGAGTCATAATAAAGGGAATTGGTCTTAGCCCATATCCTTCTGGGAATTGGATGAGATGCCATCACTTATGTCCTTGACTCTTCTGCCAATCCTTCAATCTAATTTTTTAACTGGAAAGTTGTTCTTTCTTTCTCCCCAAATCCACTATCTATTGATTTGTAGTTTAATATTTGGAGGGCAATCATATGTTGCTTATCCCAAATTCCACTTATTAAATCACTTCTGCTCACATGGTAACAAAGACATATCATAGAAGAGAAAAGCAGTTTTCCATCAACTGTTCTTTCAATCCAAAGAAAGAGAACACATCCTGAATCGGATGTGTCACGGATATGCCAGGGTAGTTAATAGAATCTTAGATAAGAGCAAATTGTGTTCAATGATAAAGACAAGGGTAGAAGAATTTACATTGAACTGGCTGAACAGCTGTTCTCTGAAGTAAGACTGTTGCCTCAGGGCTTTCTTTGATATCCCCAAAAATGGCCCTTGGCATCTCAGACAGACATCACCACCTCCTCCCCTTGCTACTCCAAGGTATAGCTTCAAATTTGATGTAAAAAAACATACTACATTCAAAGATACCCTTATAAACGATAAAACAAATGGCCAGGAAAAAAATTAAATGTCTCCAAAATACATCACATGCTTAGCTATTTTTTAAATAAATTTCAAAGGCCATAGAATTGAGGATCTGTGGACTAGAAAAAGTTCTTGCTGCAAATTGGGATGATCTTCCTATAAGATTTCCTTCAGAAGTGGACAAGCGGTCATCTTGTCCCGCTTGCCATCTCATGGTTTAAGGTAGTGCTCGCCACGGAAACTTAAATTGGCCATCAAATCCCTTAAGAGTAATCTGAGAGTCTTACAATTTAAAGCTACTCTGTGGGAGAAAACAAACAAAAACCCTAAAGGATGCTTACTGAGGAAGCGACCATTATCAAACTCCATTTTAAAAATACATTATTTTGTGAAGGTCATTGTGGGTGATCAAATGAAAGATCATTCACAATCTCAGTCATATTGAATTATGATTTATCTAGTTGAAGAAATAAAAAATTAACTAGTGAAAAACATCAGAAAGCATGAGTGTTACACCCAGGAGAACTGAAGAGAATACCCACTGGCAGAGCAAGGGAGCAAAACTACAGTCACTCTGACCTGGGCACGAAGTATCTTGTAACCCCTGGAGGCAGAGGCTTGGAGACATATTAAGCACCCACCCCCTCCGCGAACTTTGATGTTTTTAAAAAATCAAAGAAGGCAAAGGACTCTGAGTTAATTGAGAGCCCACAAAGGGCCCGCCGTCACAACACCCTCCTTGCAGGTCCCTAATGAGAGCTGACCCCCCTCTCAAGAGGTGGCTCAGCTCAACGTCCTGTCCTTCTAGTCCTGGGCTATTAATTAATTCCAGCCCGAATCCTAGGCTGAGAAAATACGAGCTGATTTGGTAAACAAATGATATGTAAAAAATCTAAACAGAGTGGCAAGTGACAAAGGAAATTGCAAATACCCCTTAACACTCTTTCCCATCGATTGGCAGAGAGAATCTAACATATACACAGAGGAGATGGAGCATAAAATTGGGCGGACTGATGCAGAGGTTTGTTTTGATTTTCTAAATCATTTATTAAAAATAAAAATGAGTGTGCGTACGAGTGGGGAGGGAGAACAGGATCCCCTAAGGCGAAGGGGTTGTCGGCAGACGATGTACAATGAAAGCGTGCTCTCTAAATCTCCAAAGCACTAAATGTAGAGAAATGCGCAATTATCGTGGGACTCGCCCAGAGAAGACAGTCTCGGGAGTGGAAGGCGATCCCGTGTCTGCCAGAGGAAAGCTAACGACTGGACTGGAAGTTCCTGCGACCGCCTGAGGTGAGCTTCAGGAGGGGACCAACCACACGAAGTCCCAGGCCGTTGGCAGCGCGAAAACCTGCGCGTGCCTGACCGGGTCAGGGGGCGGGCTTCGGGGGGGGGAAAGATCCTGCAGGGGGCCTGGGGACCCCCAAGTGATTCAGCGTCAGCAACAGGCTAAGCAATGAATTAAAACAGAGTAATAAAGGGTCTGCCAAGCTGGCACTCCCGACGTTCGCCGGTTAATGCGGGTCTTTCAGTGTCCCCGAGCTGCGACTCTCCTCGCGACGTCTGTGCAGAAGGCGCGTTCTCCGGACAGTGGGGAAACAGAGGCACAGCCTGCGCACGGAGGTATCCAGGATCCCTTTGACCACCCAAGGGCCTTCCATTTCCTCCCCAAGTCCTTACACATCCCTGAGTTCAGACACGAGTCCTCCCGTGGAGGTCCTCTCTGGGTCCAGGGGAGCTCGCAGCTCTGCGGCCACAAGTCCCCTGCAGGCGCTGGCGCGGTCCTGGGTTCTGTCCCTGCTCCCAGAGCCTGGGGACTGATTGCACCACGCAGCTGTCCACTAGCTCGCGGCCGCGCTCCATCGCATTTCCTCTGATGCTTTCGATGGTATTCTTCCCCCCTCCCCACCCTTTACCAACTGTCTTTATTTATTTTTACTTAGTCATCTTGGGGTGGGGGGCAACAATGAGGATATCCGGTATCCATTAATAATCAGACAATCCACTGCTGCCTTTGTATTCCTGCCTTTTTAAGCCTCTCAAATATTTGTGCCCCTTCATGAGAAAGGCATTCCTTAATCTACCCCCAAACTGCCCCCACTCAGGGCCAGATGGGAATCTCTTGTGACCCTACAACAATTAAACCGACTGACTTGCTTTTGGTTTTCGTTTAGGGTGACTGATTGCTTTTGTTCAGGGGATTTGGGGTATGTTTCCTGATTATTTTGCTTTTATCACACAGTAAAGGAAAACTCTCAAGAAAACTTCTCCCCAGAATCTGCGACATGAGTTCCAGTCCTGGACACTTGACTTTCCCCCTCAGTTCTGCCTCTGCACATGTCCACTTACTTAACAATCATTTGTCCTTGATCTTTGCGCACATGGCCGGGCCTCTAGCCTCCGTTAGCCCCGCCTACTATTTGCCCCTTTCTTTAATTTGTCTTGTATGTTAGTGCTGGGTCAGCAAGTCTTTTGTGCTGTGGTCCAGGGCCAGTGTATGTATGTCTGTGTGTGTATGTGTCTGTGTGTGGTGTTATTTTCCTTTTGTTATCCCCCCCCCAACACTACAGAAATGAAACACACATGCAGCTCTGTCGCCTCATATTTTCAGATGTTTTTCACACTATTGTCTGCTCCAAGCCGCTGAAAGTGCAAAGTGAAAACAGATGCATCTGAAAAAAAAATTTTGAAAGGGGACAATCCTAGAACGGGTACTAACCCCTCAAATAAAGATAAGCAATAAATATAATATCAGATTTATAACGTGCATCGAGTAGTCTTGATTAGCACCAAGGTGAGCTTTGGTGAGAGTTTTATCATTTCCATGTGTCTGGACTACAAGAAGAAATCAATGAAGGAAGAGCTCTATAAATCAGCATTGATGTCAAGACAAATCAAAATAATGCCTCTATTATTTCAATCAATAAACCATTTTTATTCCCAACATCTGTAATACACAGTGTGTGTCCGTCTGTTTGTATTTGGAATTGGCAGCTTCTACTTATACCAAAACAAACCTTTCAAAGATGTGTCAATAAAATTAAAATTTTAAAAAGAAGAAACCAATGAATCCTCCCTTCCTTTTCAAGCCTATTACCCCCCTTTTAAACCGAGCACCCTAAACCAGTAGGAGAGCTTTGCAAACTCAAAGGATGGGATTGTGCAGAGGGACAGCGAAAAGGAATGGCAGAGCTGGCTGGTGAGAGAAACTGAAAGCGGCAACAGGCAAGGATTTGGGTCGAGGAAAGCCTGCCAGCGCCTACCTCCAACGTATTTCCTAAGAGGAGTCTACAGAGTGGTGGGCTGGTTAGACAAGTTGGCCGGTGCTCCGCAGAAAACCAAACCCACTACCTCTCAGCACTGCACTAAGATTCCCTCCAGCAGGTGTAAGACTGACTAGCCTCTGGCACTAATTGGGGCGCGGCTAGCCCGAGGCAGATGGGGGAGAGGGAGGGAAAAACGGACTAACGGAAAGCTGATGGGGGGGGGGAGGGAAAGGGAGGGGAAAGGAGGAGGCAGAGAGGTGGGGAGGAACCGGGAGGTGGGGGGAGGGAAAGGAGAGAGCGAGAAAGAGAGAGGCTCTCTGGCTGTCTAGCTAGTGGCTTTGTTAGTTACAGGAGGATTTGAAGCCCTATTTCTCAAAATGTCCTACAGTTTTGACTTTCCAAGCAGCTAACTTGATGCTGCCACATTTCTTGATGGGTGAGAGGAAGGTAGTCAAGGAAAGACGGGCTTCGTTACTGAATAAAGGTTGTAGATGCCTCTGATTGTAGGTATCTCTATAGCTTTCTCAGTTAGTTTGTTTCCAAATTTCCACACCCAGAAACCAAATCCCAATCAACCTTTTGTTGCTTAGGATTCATTCTTTCCTGTTCCATCTGTCTGCCATAAACCTGTAGTTTTGACTAGCCCATTCCCAGTCCATTCCTTTCCATTGGAATGGGAAGAAGGGGATGAAAAATCCTCCCATCTGGAACCCCAAAGTGGTTCCATTATAGTCTTTGTTTGGATTCAACAGCTGTCTGCCCACCACACCCTAAGTCTGCAAGACCAAAACGCATTCTTTTGGTTTCATTTGGGGGGATAAAAGAAGCAATAATAATAAAATGAAAAAAAATCGTATTTTTACAAACAGGGTCCCACAACCACTGGGAACTTTGTGACTCTAATAGTTAATCTCTCAGGCGAAATTATCACCCCAACAACTGTTTTCAAGTAAGTTGATGCAAATGGAAAAAACATGTTGGTAACATTGATGCACGGGCTGGTTTTTCACTCAGTAAACCTCCTAGGTTTTCTCTGACTCCCTCCTTCCCTCCCTTCTCTTCCCTGGCGCATTGTTTGTTGAGGGGGTGGGGAGGGAGAGGGGGGAAGCTTAGGCGACCGGAACCTCGAGGCCGAAGGGTTTCAAGAAAAGCGAAATAAACTAGGCGGGGAAGTGCGGATTCTCTGTTCTTTTCTCTCTAATGCGTCTCTCCTCCGGGTCAGATCACTAATGACGACCTCGTTCGTACGATTTAGGACGCGGGTGCTTTCAAACAAAGGATTCGGGGTCCTCTCGCTCTTCCTGGTTGGCAGCCCCGACTTCCTTTACCTACTGTCTTTCCCCCCTGTCCCCGCCCCCAGTGCACCCCGGGGGCGCGGGCGCTGAAGCCTTTCCATCCTGCTCCCTCGGTCCTAGTCCCGCGCCGGCTCTCTTCCTAGTCGCCTACTTTCCAGACGGGATTTCTAATCCTATTATCTGGCTGCCCGAGGGGCACGCTCCCTTTTCCAGAGGCCTTTTTCGGTTCCCATTCAGGTCTTAGATTCTGAAGTCCTGGAATAAAGCTAAAGCTGCTTTCCCAACCTCTCGGATTGGGTACCTCCAGAGTCCCACCCTTGCTTGCTTTAGGCGCCCCACCTCGACGTACAAAGAAACATTTCCCGGAGTCCTGTGTGAAAATGTTCTATTTTTGACATGCAAACACAAACAAAGGATCCCATATACCGTGAATGAACAAGTTTTCCTGGAGGATGGTGGGTACTAGTGTGGATGTGGATGTGGGGTGCTCTCTCCTCAGTGTGGGTTTTGCATGTCGCAGAAAACAAGTGACAGCCCAGAAGACCCTAGTGGCCGGCGGCGGGTGTGACCCGCAGCGAGTCCGCAGCAGAGCGCCTGGGCCAGGGTTCATACTTGGCCTGTGCTCGGTCCCTATCCGGGCCCTCTTCAGGCCGTTGGTCTTCTTCTACTTCTTTTTTTGGTAACCAAGGACATCACTCTCTAGCTCTCAAAGGGGGGGGGGGGGTCTCCCTTAAGCCCTCAAGAAAAAGACTGCGAAATCTCCCAGGATACTCGATCTATCTCGTTTTCTATCAAAAAAAAAAGAAAAGAAAAGAAAAAAGAAACTGCAGTTCTGTCCACAGCTGAGTTTTAAGGGTCACCTGAAATTGAGACTCTGAGAAGGCGGCGCTTTGGGGAGTAGGGTTAAAAGGGAAATTCCCCAACGCCTATTCTCTGCTCCAGCGACAAAAGGGATCCTAGAAACCCACCCCACAGTTTCTGAGACATCCGATTTTGAGAAACAAATCTCATCCTCAAAACCCTGAATGCCGCCTTGGAAAAATACAAAGACGTTTGTTTTTCCTTTTCAAATTAAAAATTCTTACCCTATAAGTGATTTTTTGAAAACTCAACCATAAACTCCTTTCCCACCACCATTAGAATCAATAACTTTTATAGATTTTAAATGAAGATACAACGGGTCTGTCCCGTTCCGGTTTGAATAGCTACATTCCCAAATTGCTCCAGGCTGGGGTTGGGGGTTTAGGATTGGGGCTGGAGTTTTAGTTCTTCTGTTTTATTTTATTTTGGCTTTAAATATTTTTCTTTTTGAGATTCTTTGTTATTTTGAGGTTCATCTGAGAGACTCAGATTCCACTCCGAATGAGGGACTTTTTTTGTTGTTGTTTCAAAATTTCAAACTGACTTAAGTGTTGGATCATCAGTTTTCCCTTTGTCTGCCCTGGTTGTAAATAATGGCTTTGAGATTAGCTAATTAAGGGGCATTAATCACTGATAGAAAGGGAATAAATCAAAGCCTTGTTCTAAATTTCAAACTTGCCTGTATAGATGTGCATAGCTACTCTATCTGGAGCAGATAGGTGCTGTTTGAAATACTGTTCTTCAGAGTAAACCAAATCCACTTCACTTTAAAAAAATGAATATTGTATTTATACAGCCCAGTTGTGCCTTTAAATTAAGTCCCCCTCCCGTTCTTATTCCATTTCATAAACAAAGTGTAGAGACGGCAGCTATCACGGGTTAAAAGAGGCAAATCTTAGCTTTTGTCTGGCATTATGCTTACCTTTTGGGGGGCGGGGCGGGGAGTTGGAAAAGGGCGGAATAAACCCTAAGCGGATACAGATGGAAGAAGGATAAATAGATTTGTATTGAGGTTTGTTTTTAACCAGAATAGTTTCTGTAGTAATTCTTCAATGTCTGCAGTATTTCAGGTATAATTCTCTAGACTGCATTTCCCTAGCCCTCTGCATAATACATTCAAAAACATTAGGTTCTGGTTTGTGAAAAAGAAAAGCAAGCATTGTGTGTGTGTGTATGTACGCGCGCGCGCGCGCGCGCGCGTGTGTGTGTGTGTGTGTGTGCAAAGAGTAAGGCTCCTTCTCCATCGCATTTTGCTGCACCAGTGATGCTCTTTGCATTACAGTTTGTGCCACGCTCGTAGTCCTGCACAGCATTTGGGAGCTAGGACCATTTCAACACCGACAAAAGAGGCTTTAAATAAGTACATGCCATAAAACAACAAGCTGGTCCCTGGGAGCAAGTAAAAATTTATTCGTTTCACGTAAAGCCCTCGAAACAGTAAACACAGAGCAGATAATCCAGAGCCAGGCAGGGGATCTGCACGCCCTTGGCTCGGTGTCTGCGCGGGCGTGTGCGCTCGGTTCTGCGCGCAGCTTGGCCTCTGTGCGCACCGCTTCCCCCCTTCCCCCAATTGCAAGCAAAGACGCGTGTGTTGAGATTCCCCACAATCTCCTCCTCCGTTGGGGCCGCCGTGACTCCTTTTAGCAAGGACTTTCAGTTGAGGGCTCAATTCAAGATTAATGACTGGGAAAGGTGCCCTCTGGGGGAAAGAGTGGGGTTCTGGTGTTGAACTCAGGATGGCTGCCTCTTCCTACCGAACAGCTCCTAACGAAGGGTGTGCACCCCAAGAGCGGCTGGCTGTTGAAAATGCCGCCGGGCAGCTCCTAAATATCCCTTCATACTGGATTCTGTCTTTTATTGGACGTTACCTGCTGCCAAAGGCAGGTGCCAATTCCCGGGAGGCTAAACCCTTCTAATCGTCTCAGCTGCTCATGCCCCTCCCCCCTTGATTTGCTGCGCTTCATTCCTATTTTCACCTTTTCAAGTCTAGAACTTTATAACTAATTTTAAGGTACCCGATGTACCGTGTCATCAAAGGGACGCTGGCAAACTGCGCCAGAGGCCGCGAGCAAAGAGGGGGGCGGGCACTGGAGTAAGAACTGGGGAAGAAGGGCAAGGAGACAGGGCAGAGAGGGAGGGGGAATTTGCATAAAGCTTTGTCTTTAATGGGTCTTAGGCTGCTGCGGGTTATAACGCTAATTACACAAGATTAATGTGGAGATTGTTCTCAATTGCTCACCAAGATTTATTTAAACAGTGAACTGCTCAAGATCCAAAGCCGTAAACCAGCCTACCCCGCCGCCCGGCGCGGACTTTATCATTGCAGGAAATAAAATTTTTCCAAGTCCAAAAGAGAAAAGAAGGAAATTTGCCCTTAGATCAGAGGCTCCAAGACGTCAACTTAGGGGAATATTGTTGTTTAAATAAATACAAAAAGTGCATTCCTTGTCTTCCCCCGAGGAGGTATAGTGGATACCTTCTTGGCGAGGCAGGCTCTAGTGTAGAAGGTGAGACCTGCCAAGGCAAAAGTACGGTGCTGGCGCGCCCCCTAGTGCAACCAAAGGGAAAGGGACACGGCGGCTTCAGGTATGACTTTGAGTGGT